GTGTGTATATATATATATATATATATATATATATATATATATATATATACATGTGTGTGTGTGTGTGTGTATATATATATATATATATATATATATATGGAGAGAGAGAGAGAGAGAGAGAGAGAGAGTCTTGCTGAGTTGCTAAGTGCCTTGCTAAGTTGCTGAGGCTGGCTTTGAACTCATGATCCTCCTGCCTCAGCCTCCTGAGCTGCTGGGATTACAGGTGTGTGCCACTGCACCTGGCCAGTTTTGCTAATTCTTTGTGATACTTTGTACATGACTCCTGATAGTCTTTACTGACAAAGGAATGTGTTTACGCTTATAACATCATTTGACACCTTATTTCCTTTCAACCTTATTTCCTTTTTTAACCACATCATGAAGAACAAGTGTTTCTCAGAGCTAAACAGCAGGACTGTTAAGAAACCTCTAGGAAGGTATCTAAATGTTTAGGGTTACAGTACTGAAATTCTGAATAACAGGAAAGTAGAGGAAAGAAAACTGTGTGCCACACATTCTAAAGGCAGGCCATTGTCTGTACATCCTGTGTACCCCACAGCTTCCCTCATTGCCTTGACCAATCTCAGAGGACTTCATAAGCACATCCTAGAATCAGACCATAGAAAAGGCCCCAGATGAACTGTAATGCATTCTGCTGTCATATATAACAAATTAGAGTGTGGGAAAAAAAGACCCCAGTTAAACCTATTTCATTTAACCAGCCAAGTGCAAGTAAAATCCATCACATAGTTTGAAAAATGTTTTAACTCCAATTTACACTGTTAATAGATATAGTGGTTATTTTCAAATTTCAAATATTACAGAATAACACAATACCTTTTTTATGTGACGCTGGGTACCGAACCCAGTGCTTCATGCATGCTAGGCAAGTGCTCTACCACTGAATCCAAAATCATGGCATTTGCAGGTTGGAGAATATAATCTATGTGAAGTTAGCCAATCCCCAAAAACCAAATGCTGAATGTTTTCTTTGATATAAGAATGCTGATTCATAATGGGGATGGAGGGGAGGCGCATGGGAGGAATGGAGGAACTTTCGATAGAGCAAAGGGGAGGGAGGGGAAAGGAGGGAGCATGGGGGTAGGAAATACGGTGGAATGAGATGGCCATCATTACCCTAAGTACATGCATGAAGACACGAATGGCGTGAATGTTCTTTGTGTACAACCAGAGACACGAAAAATTGTGCTCTATATGTATAATATGAATTCAATGTATTCTGCTGTCATATATAACAAATTAGAATAAAAAAGGGTACAAAAATATTACAGAAGGGCATGATGTTTTTATGTCTGCAGGAGAAGACTTGGGCTTAAAAGTTTGAGAAATCCCACTCTAGAACATACTAGAAGACATTCCAGTGATGGGAAGTCACCCAGATGAAAGACCAAAGCAAACGCTGGATGTGCTTGAAGGCCTGAGAGCTCAAGTTGAAGAATTCTGTGGACTACAGAGGGTCAAGAGGTGGACTGATAGGCAAAACTAGAAGAAAGATCATTTTTTAAAGTCTGGACAAAAAAAAATCACAGGATAGGTAATATGCAAGACAGCCTCTGGTTTAAAATTTTACACACAGGATAGGGAAGAAAAGGTGTGCTTATCACTCCAATCTCAGGTCACTTGACAGCTCCATTCTAACTTGTAGAGCATCATCCCTGGAGCCTTGGTCAGGGCCCCTCTGTTTCCAAAAACACATTGCCTGCCATAGGCCACACTGCTGGGAAGCAGCAGCAGTGAGCCTGGCTTGGGTCCTCACTGGAGTGAACACAGGTGCTGAATAATTAAGGCTACTTGGTTGTCACTTGTATTCTCCAAGAGGAACTTGCCATGTAAGCTGGGCCTTCTAAAGGCAGGGGGAACACAACAGGTGTATCAGAGAGGCAGCTTCTGTTCCTAATGGTTAAAGAGCAGCCAGAGTTGCCAGAGAGACACACAAACTTAGACAGGAAGAGGCATTTGGAAGGCACTTTCCAGCACACTCGCATAAGCCATTAAAACCTCAGCAACAAAGATTTTGAGCACAAATAAAACTCACTGATTTAATTTTCTTCTGGGTCCCCTGGAGTCTCCTTTAAAGGCTATTGCCCTTTGCTGCTAGGTATCTATTTAACAAGAGAATCAGGGCATATTTTAAAATTCAAGTAATTGAACATATAAAACCACAGAACTTACTAAAATGGCCCTTTTTCACCTTTAACAAATACATGCACTCATGTGATATGGTGAAAGCAAGAGAAATCAAATCTGAGGCTTTGGCATTAATTGTTGCAGTTATTCAACTTTATTATATTTTAAGATCTAAAAACAGTGAAACATAGTATTTTTCAAACACTTGAGGTTAAAGCACCTGGGCCCAGCATCTTCATACAAACAATTTGACAGAAGACCAAGTTTAAGTTACAATTTTGCTTCATACCACATATGGAATAATATAGATAAAGCTATCCTTTAAATTATATGTGCCCAATAAAGAGTTACACTCGTGTATACAGCTGGTTGTCTAAAAACAAAGTGTACATTCTTGCCCCTGGTGAACAATTACTTTTTTATTTTTATTTTTGTAGCCTTGGAGGTTGAACTCAGGGGTGGCCCCCAGCCCTTTTTATGTTTTTATTTTAAGAGAGGGTCTCACTAAGAGACTGAGGTTGTCCTCAAAGTTGTAATCCTCCACTCTCAGCCTCCAAATAACTTGGACTATAGGCATGAGCCACCATGCCCAGCATATTAACATTTATAACAAGTGGCTAATACAATTATTAGCACCAATTCTCATAGCTTAAAAATATTATACCAAAGTTAAACAATTTAACAATAAATAAGAGAATAATGATGATAAACATATTTCTCTTAAAAGTTTTAAAATTATAAAATTAAGCCCAAACCAATAAGTTGGAACTAATGTTATCATTCAAAGTTTAGCAGGATAAATGGCTCAGAACCAGGTAAAATAATTAGAAATACTACACAAGACAGAGAACTTCCCTAAATGGGAACCAACCTAAGGATTAGTTTTTTGATTGTGATTGTGTTTCCCTGAAGAATAAGCTGAGAGGTACTAGTGATAGCAAATATGGCATATATAACAGAATAAAAACATCTCATTAATACTGGATCATTATTACTTCTGAAACAGTACAAAATGCCATTTTAAATTTTAAAAGATTTACTTGTGTATATACTTCACATATAGAATAAAAGAAAAGTATGAAATAGCACTCATATGAGGAATAAACACATGTCACAAAAATAGGATTCTTTTAAAAACTTGGATATAGGTATCTTCATAGAGAGATGTGGACAATTTATTCCTATTTATATGTGTAAGCTTTAAAATAACAGGTATTTCAACAAATAAAATAGTAACTCCACCTACACTACTCCAGAAGTAAATATCTCTTGCATAAAATGACCATTCTATCAATCCTATAATTTATCCCCAAACTGGTACAAATATTTCAAGAAGTCTATAAACTCATTTTTCCCCTCTAAATCTAACAAGTACAATATGTAAAGATAAAAACAGAGAGTAAAATACTTTATATAGCTATTTCTTTTCTGGAAACTGGTAAAACATATCAGACAAAATAATTGAGAAAGAGAAGATGCCTATAGATTCTCTTTTAAGGAAAAATTCTCCCTTATGGATTTCATTCTATAGGTTGTATTTCCTCTTAAGCTGTTGTGGCTCTAAATATAAAGATGCACATAAATCAAAGGGTTTTTTTTTTTGCTATTTCCTACATGAAGTGTATTTGTAAACTATATGATGAAAAATAACAAAAAGGCATAAAGAATGAACTTTCAATTTGAATGTGCTAATACTAAAATGTTAAATGGTTTTTAAATAAGTAGACTTGACCTATCATTGACTTATCATTCTACAATTGTGGATATAACATATTTTTAGAGGAACCTTCTACAAAACAGAAACTACTAAGGACAGAATAATGACTTTAAGAAGGAACTGGTAAACCTAATCTAAACTTCTGCAAACATTAAATTGTTGAGGCCTTTTTCTTCTTTAAGCTTTTTGATGTAGTGGCACAGTTTCAAGACGGTTCCGAGCTTCAACCCCATATACTTGATCATGGTGTCACTGGTCAGCAACAGCAAGGCCTTCCCATCAATTTCCTACAGAGAGAAGGGAATTACAATACTTAATAATATTTTCATATTTGATCAGATTGGTTCTTTATATATAAGAACATGTGCAACAAATCAGAGAGCAGCTCTTTCCAGTCTCTGAATATGCATCTACTCTATAAAGACTGTTAAAAATATAATCTGCACAGTGAAGCATCATTTAGTAAAAATTTGGCCTAATATTTTAAAAATAAACTCTGTCAAACTACCTAATTAAATACCATATGTTGAATTAAATACCACATATCTATGACAAAATAAGTAAAAACTATGAATGATAGAAATTCATTTCAGATGTTCATTAGCTTCCTGACAAGGGCTGGGAATGTGAGTATCTCAATGTCAATGCAAACTATAAACATACTATACAGTGTTGTATTTTTGATAAAAATAATTAGTTGTCTGAAGCTAATTAGATGTGAAACTGCTGGTTTTCTTATCACAGTGAAAATGGCACATTAGATACATGGCCACTGACTGTATTCATTAGGACACACAGTAAAAATATTATTTGATAGTTGCAAGGCGCTCTTTTAAAATTTCATATTATCTTAACTAACCAACTTACATTGCTAAGGCATATTATTATTTGATTTTTTACACGCTCCAATTTAAAGAAAAAAAATTTTACTTAATCAAGTATCACTGTCTGAAAAGACCTGAAATCCCTTATAGTACCATCTTTGCCAGGCATCTTCTGTACATTTTCTACTAAGTAAAACTAGAAATGGAAGAAATTATAACTTAAAATTTAGCCCAGGGTGTTGCTTTTTAAAGGGTCTGGTACAGCCTGAGGGCATCAGCATCATAAGAAGTCACAAACCATATAAGGTTAACAGAATTGAATTGATTGGAATTAGTTGCTGGATATATTGGGTATCATAGTAAAAAGGCCACCCTGTTACAGATTGTAGTTGCCCTCTCCTACTCATGGTCCTAGGGCTGAGCAGGGAACAGGTTGAGGGGTGGGGAGGATCCTTGTATCTGTCTTTACAAAAGGGCGGTCCACCTGAAAGTGGCAATGCAGAATCATCCTCTTGAGAATGTGAGGCTGTTTAGAATATTATGCACTTGGATACCCATTTAAAGAAAGACCATTAACCTACCATTTAAGGATGTAATGTTGGGCAAAATAACCTTTCTCTTAAATGGCAAACTCAGTTGATTGATAGGGTTCCCCCACCATCCACACAACTCAGTATCTAACTGAAAGGCCTGCCCAGAGATCAAAAGATACATTACAGGCTAGTTGTAGTGGCGAGCGCCTATACTCCCAGTGGCTGGGCTTGGGAGCCTGAGGCAGGAGGATCGAGAGTTCAAAGCCAGCCTCAGCAACAGCAAGGTGTTAAGCAACTGAGTGAGACCCTGTCTCTAAAGAAAATACAAAATAGGGCTAGGGATGTGGCTCAGTGGTTGAGTGCCCCCGAGTTCAATCCCCAGTAACCCTCCCCCTGAAAAGATACATTACATGTTGCTCAATGAGGCTAGAGAGGGGGCCTGACATCTGAGGATCCGTACGGTTCAGAAACAGGATCACATCATCCACAGACCAGGTTAAAGGATCCTCCGGGTAGTCTTGGTTCATCACAATGGATTCAGATTGAACTGGTGAACTTGTAGCTTCACAATGAGGGAAAAAAACACACAAATCACTTGACCTGATCATTATCCTGAAAGAGAAGTTAGGTAGGGAGTAATGGTCTAATTTCTGGAACCTTCACTTACATACCCAAGCAAGGACTCAAGACTCTAACTGTAAAATTAGTAAAAGCCTACATTAAAGATGATCAAGACAGCTGCATAAGAGCATCCCATCTGACCTCCCCCAAACGGAAACAGCTTCAGAAGTTCCCTTAAAGCTTTAAAAATTATAAAACAGACCAAGCAATTCAAGGCCTCTTGGGCCATACAGCAAAAGATCCACTACGTGGATTAAATTAGGTAAATCTAACCTAACCCATTACATTCTTAAGTGTTTCAATGAATTTCTCTCAATCTCTCTAAATCAGGTTTATTTTACTAAATACAATGGAAACTCCCCAAATTTACCATTTTATAGTTGCTTAAACTTGTTCACTTTAATCAAGGAATTTCAACAACCCCATTATCTTGGAGGACCAAATTAGTTCTTTCACCAAATCTCTCCCATAGTTTCAATATGGATATTTTTAGCATCACTTTAATTCTTTATGGATTCCTGTCTCTTGTGGCTTAAACATTAATTTGATTTTTTTTGGGGGGGGGGGTGCTGGGGATTGAACCCAGGGCTTATGCATGTGAGGCAAGCACTCTACCAACTGAGCTATACCCCCAGCCCTTAATCTGAATTTTAACAGGATTATTTTCTGCTGAGCTAAGTCAGAAGTAACTTTAACATTTTATTTGATTCTTCTTTCATGTTTAATTGCATAGCAATAGATGTTTTAGTTGAAGGTTTACTTGTTTAATAAAGAAATAACTGAGACATGAAACAATTTAGGTACTCACACCTCAGCATGTTTTAGCTGTGCTGTTCACTAAACTGTGTTGACATTTCTTTGTGTCCTGACAAATATTCATTCACTCAAGCAAAGCACTCGACTCCCTAAAGAGTGTGTGTGATAAGTGAAGAGGGTTTTGTCATTTGCAAGAGCCTCGAGGACTCAAAACAAATTTGATCTTCTGGGGTGTGGATTAGCCAAAGGCATGTCCTTTCTTTCCTATCATCTGCTCTCTGGTCATTCTAGGAGTATTTTGAGTTATTCATCCAGGGAAAGGGATAAAAATAACAATATTAAAAACTTCACAATGGGCTGAGTGCGGTGGCGCACGCCTGTAATCCCAGCAGCTCAGGAGGCTGAGGCAGGAAAATCGTGGAGTTCAAAGCCAGCATTAGCAAAATAAAGTGAGGCACTAAGCAACTCAGTGAGACTGTCTGTAAATAAAATACAAAATAAAGCTGGAGATGTGGCTCAGTGGTCAAGTGCCCCTGAGTTTAATCCCAGGTACACCCTTCCCACCCGCCTCAAAAAAACTACTTCACAATGGGGTCATTAAGGATATCAGTGATGAGTTGCTTAACACAGTGCCTTGCTCATAATACATATTCAGTGAATAATAGTCACCCTTAATACCATCACCAGCTCTCAAAATAGGAAACAGCTTCCACTAGCTCATATGGAGGATGTTGAAGAAGACAGGTTAAATAGTGATATTTGTACATGTGTCATTCCAAACTCACCAAAACCAGATGACATGTGGTGAGATGACCGAGCATGTGTATTATCCAGCAAGCCCGGGTAATTCTTCATATCAGCATTGGACTCTCCTCGGGCCAGTGCATTTGTAGATACTGGCATGGAAACTCCAGCAGAAGAGTTGCTGCTGGTGCTGCAAGCCCCAGGGCTGGCAAAGCAGGACACTATAGAAGGACCATGTGTGTTGTCATCATTTCTGAGGTAGGTATGGAATGAACGCCCAGAGAAGAGTGGTGGGATCGGTGGGCTATCTCTGAGGGATGACTCCTGATCCCTGATCAGGGACTCCTGCTCCATCTCCTGGGATTCCTCAGATTGAAAAGATGAGATCACAATGTTGCTGTCATCATTTTCTGGTCTGCGAACTGGTAAAGTCGGGCTGTAACTTTCAGGATAGGAGAATGAATTGAGACGTTCCTTCTTTTTTGCTTTTTGGACTTTAACTTTTTTAGAAAGCAGGCGATTATAATTTTTGCAAGCAAATCCAAGTGGCTTCTGAAATGACACAAGCCCAATAATAATCAACAGTGAATAAAAAGAGAAATAAGGTCAGCGTGGTGGCACATGCCTCTAATCCCAGTGACTCGGAAGACTGAGGCAGGAAGATCGCATATAAGAGGCCAGACTCAGCAACTTAGCGAAGCCCTAAACAACTTAGCTAGACACTGTCTCCAAGTAAAAAATAAAATGGACTGGCAACGTAGCACCGTGGTACAGCACCCTTGGGTTCAATTCCCAGTATAAAAAAGAAAGAAAGAAAAAATAAGTAGTTAATATATTAATATTTATTTTACATAAAAACTATTTTACACTACTAAAATAAATGCTCTCTTGATTATATGATTAAATTTTATTCCTCTTCTGGCCTACATTTTAATTGTGTCTCACAGACTTTCTTCCTGTGCTGAGGATTGAACCCAGTGCCTCATTCATGCAAGGCAAGCACTCTACCACTGAGCTACACCCTCAGCCCTTTAATTGTGTTTATATATTATGGGTACAAACATACAAATACTCACTACTATACATTTATTGAACTTACTGTCATGACACCAGCATTTTTCCTATAGAATTTCAGTTCCCCATCTGCTCCTACAACAAGTACAGACCAGCCTTGCTAATCTCACACAGCTACTAGTTCTCTAGCCCTTCTAACTGACTGGCAGCTTTACATTTATCACAGTTATAGAATACTTACGCGATAGTTCCAAAAGGATTTTGTATGCAGACGTCGGATTTTTGACAACTTTCCATCAATGACATCAAATTTCTTATCCAGGTTTTGGATAGCATCATATATAACCTATTAAAAGAAAATGTATTATAGTTCCTATTTCAAAAGCAAAGTAAAATGTGTGAAAATGCCATGAAGCCAAGTTCAAACTGCTAGGCACAGTGAAACACATGTCTGTTCTGACTTGAGGCCTGTTGGTGACACAGAACCCTCTTGGCTCAGTCAAGGAGCCTCGACTGTTTCTACACTACTCGAAGCCACATGGACATTGAAAGGATGCCACCATTTCACATCAAGGAAGGTGCTATTTTTAGGAAAGAAGTGTTCAAATCTGCTAAAAGGCCAAAGAGTCACCTTCTATACAAGAACTAAAAGACAGCAAGTATTCCACACTCTATACAGAGCCAAATCCAACAGATGTGACTTTTGGCTTCAAAGTATTTTAAAATCATGCAGTCAACAATTAACCTTATAAAACCACTGAGTACATGTCCCCATATGTGCCCATTAGTATGTGAATGATACAAATCTGAGATTCTTGAAATACACAGAAATTTCAGGCAAAACCACACTTTTATTTAAAAGACCAGAAACATTTCTTCATTCAATCAAATAAACATTTACTAAAGCCAGGTACATGGTGCATGCATGTAATCACAGTGACTCAGGAGGCTGAGGCAGGAGGATTGCAAGGTCAAAGTCAGCCTCAGCAACTGAAGTGAGGCCCTAGGCAACTTAGTAAGGCTCTATCTCAAAGTAAAAAATAAAAAGAGCTGGGGATGTAGCCCAGTGGTAAAGCACCCCTGGGTTCAATCCCTGGGGCAAAAAAAAAAAAAATTACAAAGGGCCTTCCACCTATAGGAACCACTTCACGAGGTGCTAAGACATTAAAAATACAAACAAAACCCCAAAAACTCCTGTCTTGAGGGAACTCCCATCTCAGCTATGGAGAGAAGTAAAGAGACAATTTTAATAGAGCCTGGAATAGCAGTTCTCAAAATGTGGTCCCTGGACCAGCAGCATCAACATCACCTGCAAACTTGTGAGAAATGCAAAATCACAAATCTGAGTAGGGGCACCAGGCTTTTTTTTTTTTTACAAGCTCCCCAGGTAACCCTGAGACATATTCAAGTAGGGAAACCACTGACCTGTACACTGGGACAAACAGTGTAGGCTCTAGGGAACACAGTTGACTTTAATACTAGAATTCTAACACTTACTAGCTTTGTGGTTACTTGACCTCTCTGTGCTTCAATTTCCTCATGTACAAAATTTGGGATGAAAATGTCTTAGGGGTTCTACTGAAAACAAGAACTTTGCTAAGCATTGTGTTAACACCAATGATAACACAAGTACACAATGACAGGTCCAACAACCTTCAGTACTCTATTGGCATTCTTATTGTTTTTATTATCACCAGTAGCATGGCGCAGGTATGAACAGGAGGCTAAGCATGCCCAGAAGAGCAACACTGAACCTGGGCTGGCAGTCAGGGAGGATTTTCAGAGGAGGTGATGTCTGAGCTGAGAATTTAAAGGTTAAAAAAAACAGCAGCCAGGTAAAGATACATTGGAAGGGCAGAAAGGGCAGAAGAAACAGCATCTTCAAAAACACCCCAAAAGAGAGAAAACAGGAAGCTAGACATTTAGCTAGCAAGTATAAAAGATATCCAAGGAGCTGGGTTGTCAAGGAGGGTGAGATTGAGGGCAGCAACTAGGAGGGATGTTTTAAAGCTGTGGGAGGATATTCTGAGGGAGGGAGTTACAGAGACAGGGCTGGAGACACAGGAAGGGAGAGATGCCCCCTCAGGGAGGTCTCGGCACAGGGAAGAGAGCCTGCAAGAAACCAGTGGAGGGACCAGCCCTGGGCAGCACAGGACACTGTTCTTATCCTATGGGGAGGAGGAGTCAGAACAAGGATGGCTCAGCTCCAATAGGTGTGCTGGCTGTGGGGACAGAAATCAGGACTAGAAAGATGGCTGCCTGGGTTCTCCAGTCTCCAGCAAAGAAGAGGCAGCAGAGTGTGTGGTGCGAACTCTCACAGTAGAGTGGACTGGGGCTAGGGAAAGGACTCTTTGAAGGAGACAGCCCAGGGCTCCCAGCCTGCTGGCCTAGAGCTGGGAACCCAGCAGGTGCCTGGCAAGGGTGGGAGTCAGGGGAGGGAACTGGGAGGAAGGAAACAGAAGGGTAAAGGCTGCACCAGGTGGTGAGAATGGTAAGGAAGGAGGCAGAGGATGGCAAAAGGCACACATTCAGAGAAATGCCCCTGTGTGTTGTTTGGGGTAGAGCTTGGGGACCTGGGCACTTCTTATCTAAGATGCCATATCCCATCCCAGCTTGCACAACTACTCAGAGACCTTGGTTGAGCAGTGCAGAGGCCTAGGAGGCTGCTCAGGCAAGGGACAAGAGCCCTCTTCCTTGCCTCTCCAGCACCTCTGCACAGCTCTGCCCATCCCAGGCTCTAGGTCCTATGGGCACTAGTAAGAATGAGAAAGACACACACGGACTTTTACTTTTCAAAATATGCTAGTCATTCTATTTAAGAAACTTTATAGGTGAACATTTTTCTCTTCATAAACTGTCATTGCCTCTGGGGTATGCAGCTTACAAAACCCTTGATAATTACAAACTTCTATCAATCTCTACCAACAAGCTAACCTGGAAAAAAAATCTCAAAACTATGTAAGATTGGGCTGGGGTTGTGGCTCAGCTGTAGAGTGCTTGCCTAGCAAGTGAGGGGTGCTGTGTTCGAGCCTCAGCACCACATAAAAATAAGTAAATAAATAAAATAAAGATTAAAAAAAAAACTATGTAAAATGAGCTGGACGCAGTGGTGCATGCCTGTAATCCCAGGGACAAGGGAGGCTGAGGCAGGAGGATAGTGAGTTCAAACCCAGCCTCAGCAACTTAGGCCTTAAGAAACTCAGTGAGCCCCTGTCTCTAATATATAAAAAAGGGTTGGGGATGTGGTTAAGCACCCTTGGGTTCAATCTCTGGTACCAAACCAAACTAAACCAAACAAAAACAAACTAGGGCTGGGGTTGTGGCTCAGTGGCAGAGCGCTTGCCTCACACTTATGAGGCACTGGGTTTGATCCTCAGCACCACATAAAAATAAATAAATAAAATAAAGGTACTGTGTCTGTCTACAATTAAAAAATTTTAAAAAAAACTATGTAAGATGTACTCCTAAAAACACTTATAGGCTGCCGTTTTGTTTCAATGGAGATATCTTGATATGCAGTGAGGCACATACTAAATTCCACTCAAATCAGTCAATGTTCTCTAGATATTTTAGGGAACTTAATTCGATACTGAGCAAACTAGATGAAAGAGACACAACTACATATGGTTATTAATGTTTTATTTTAAAGCGCCTAAGATCCAAGTATTGTTGATTCAAAAGTTTTACCTGCAAATGCTATTCAAACTAGAAACTGTTTAAAATCATCAAAATGGGGTGGTAATCAAATACTTTAATAAGGCGAAATTTTAAATAATTGTACAGGTTCTTTTTATATGAGATAGAGAATTTTAACTTTAACATTTTAGAAAACCACAGTAGAATGAATCTGACATAACACTCCTATGTTCATATATAAATACATGACCAGTGTATCTCCACATCATGTACAATGATAGGAACGGGAAGTTATACTCCATGTATGTATACTGTGTCAAAATACACTCTACTGTCATGTATGCCTAAAAAGAATAAAGAAATTAAAAATTAAAAAATAAGAAAAAACATTTTAAAAAACCACACAGAAGGAACAGAACTTCGTACCTGACAATGGGTAAGGATATCCGAAACGGTTTTCTGCTCCTCATCATTGTAGGATGTGTCCGATAGGACATTTTCCTGCTATAATATTTTAAAAGTAAGCAGTTAATGCTTTGTTTCAGTAAGACTCCCACTGAATGCTAGGGGAGAAAAAGGACTTGATATTTAACTCTTTAATATTGTTTTTATTTTCCATCAACCTTTCAAAAGACAATTTAAAGCAGAGACAAAAATTCACATTATTCTGATAATGGAAATGATAACTGCCCATTAAGAAAGGGATCACAGGGGCTGGGGTTGTGGCTTAGTAGTAGAGTGCTTGCCTAGCACATGTGAGGCACTGGATTCCATCCTCAGCACCACATATAAATAAATAGTTACTATGTCCATCTACAGCAGCAACAACAACAAGAACAAAGTGTGCTTTCCCTGTCTCTTTTAAAAGAGTCCGAAGACTCACCCTGTTCTGAGCTGAGTCCCCAATTCCCCTCAAAAAATGAGATTTGTGGGTGTTTGTGGGAATTTTCACCAATGTAGAAAAATTCTTACATTGCTGTCTCTTTTTTTATCTCAGCACAAGAAAACAGTACATCCAAAGGAAAAAAGGAACAGGGGGGGTGCCAGGGAAAGAATTTATCGGAAGAAACTAGGTTTGGATTACCAGTACGAAACTGCTCTGAATTTCCTAGGACAAGGGAGAAGCAAAATGGTTAAGAGCTTATTGTCTAATGAAAGAAAGCATACAAATTCAGCAGAGAAACAGTTCCTTGAGTGGGAGTTTAAAGGACTTCCATAGTACATAAAGAATTGAGCTGCGTGCGGTGGCACATGCCTGTAATCCCAATGGCTCTGGAGGCTGAGGCAGGAGGATCATGAGTTCAAAAAAGCAAAAGCAAGGTGCTAAGCAACTCAGTGAGATCCTGTCTCTAAATAAAATACAAAATAAGGCTGGGGATGTGGCTCATTGGTCGAGTGCCCAAGTTCAATTATTGGTACCCCCCCAAAAAAAGAATTGAAATCTTTTTCTTTCAAATGGCAAATTTTAACTTACTTGTCAACTAGCAATTAATATTACTTACATTATTGAAAAATGTAGTGTTTGGCTCATATGCGTAAAGAACAGTGCTATCATCATCATCATAATCTTCCTCTTCGTAAGTTGGTATTTGTGTTTTGATCTGAGGAAGATTATTAAATAACTTAACAGGAAAGATAAAATACAAAACTAAAAGAGATGTTGGGAACTTTAACTTCATTTTTAAGAAGCTTCAAAAGCCTATTACTGATATCAAAGGACCTATGCCTACTGTAAACACTGACTACACAAAAAGATGTACTTGCAGAACTGTGTTCTCATTAACCCCACTACACTACTGCACCATCTCCAGAGAGCTGAACCCCTTTTGTGCTTCAGGGTGGGAAGACTAGTCTTCTGCACTAAAACTGCTTTAAAAGCAAACATTTTAAACCATGAACAAAAGATAAAATGTTCCACGGCTTCTGATAACCTGATTTTTAAATAGTCCAATAGTGCCACTCTGTGGACAAAACAGAACACACTCAGGCACTCACTTTTTCTTGATAAATGAATCTCTAAATTACCTTAAAACATTCTTGGAATAAGACAAGGTAAAAATAAGTAAGGGAGTGTAAATAACTACTACGTTTTGGTATAAGTATTTATTCCAAGAATAAGTCATGAACTCTAGGAATAATTTTAAAATAAACACACATGGTAGCTATGTATGTCTTTGTTTCAAAATATATCATACATATTATCTGGATTCTCCTTGCACTGATAGGTAACCAAAATAATATGGAATTGGGGTATAGACTATGACCTATAAAATATTCTATCTCTTGTATAGTGCCTTATGCTTTTCAAAATGTTTTCACATAATTTTGTTAAAAATGACTCTTGGTGGATATTTAATATTATTTCCAAATGTGAAAAACATTAGGGCTAATGCAAGCTAAGAGTCACACAGATTACTTAGATGGCATTAATAGTCATTTCCTTATGTGACTAAATAAATGTGTTTTCTGTTAGGCCTCATTATGTATGCTTTAATATATTTTGGTTCAATTTGTAAGAATTAAGAAACAGCAGAATGTACTAGAACTGCAAAATTAGCACAATCACCTTGAAAAACTGTTTGGCAGAGTCTCATAAAGTTAAATTTACATCAACTCTATAACCTTGCAATTCAACTTCTGGGTATTTACCCAGAAGAAATGGAGTGGAAGCTCACAAAGAAACTTGCACACCAATGTTCACAAGAAGTATTATCATATCAGTCAAAATTCATGGCGAAAAATTTACTTAGGATCTATGCATAACACTATATGAAATTAAACTGAATTTAGAAAACAATGACAGCACAACAAAAGGAATAAAGACATTTCAATCTGAATACAAACCACATCCATCTCACTGGAAAAATTAGACATCATTTCTGTGTATCAGCAGATGGTCCACTTCCAGTGAGTTGAGCCTAATTAATTTTAAACTTGCTGAAGGGTTTATTTGTGAAACTGCTTAGTCACCTAAGACTGGTAAACCTCCTACTCCTGAAAAGCAATGCATAAAAAAGTTACTTTATACATTTACTACCTAAATAACTTTAATGTGGATATGTTCTGAGAATAGCACTTCAAACTTAAGTTTTGTTTGAATTTTAAAGAGCAACAAAACAATTCTTCCATAGCAACTTAGAATAAATCTTTAAAAATGAAAGGGCTGGGGCCAACACAGTGGCGCATGCCAGTAATCCCAGCGGCTCAGGAGGCAGAGGCAGGAGGATCGCCAGTTCAAAGCCCAGCCTCAGCAAAAGCAAGGTGCTAAGCAACTCAGTGAGACCCTGTCTCTAAAGAAAATACAAAATAGGGCTGGGGATGTGGCTCAGTGGTCGAGTGTCCCTGAGTTCAATCCCTGGTGTCCCCCCCCCCAAAAAAAAGTGGGAAAACAAAAATCAACTCACCTATTTGAAGAAGTTTTTTAAAAACCCACAAAAAACAAACAAACAACAACAACAACAAAAAAAAAAAAACAAGAAAGGGCTACACTGCCCAGGACTAGGAATAAAAATCAAAGTTAAGCCAGGCACGGTGGCACACGCCTGTGATCCCAGTGGCTCAGGAGGGCTCAGGCAGGAGGATCATGAGTTCAAAGCCAGCCTCAGCAAAAATTGAGCTGCTAAGCAACTCAGTGAGACCCTGTCTCTAAATAAAATACAAAATAGGGCTGCGGATGTGGCTCAGTGGTTGAATACCCCTGAGTTCAATCTCTGGAACCTCCCCCTGATCCAAAAAAAAAAAAAATCAATTCCAAATTGCTTAACAACTTAAAGTCCCCAGAGTACTGGGAACAAGCGAACAATAGAACACCACTGCTAACAGCTTTTGTAAAGGAGTTCAAAAGGCCTTTTTTTTTTTGATCAAACCCCCAGGGCCTTGTGCCTGCAAGCTACCCACTGAGCTATATCCCCAGCCCATCAAAAGGGCTCTTGACCTAGAGAGGCAGCATGCCTCTAAAAGGAGCACCAGGAGTCAGCTCTGGATTGGGCCCCACCACTGCCACCGTGTGGAGGAGAGAGACCCCTACAGACACTGCCTCCTCACCAGCAGGTGCAAACCTGTTCAGAGCGGCTCTAAAGAAATCTTTACCTCTAAAATTATGATTAAACCTAAGTAAATGGATGTCAAATACAGCCAAAAGTCTAGAATTCCAGACAAAACAAGACACTGACCACAATAACACTGATTATGTACTAGAAATTCTATTTGAGCACCAGCATCACAGCTCCTGGGAGGGGTACATTAATAAAAAAGCTAATTTACTTTAAACCATCCTTAGCCACAGCAGCAATGAGAAGACAATTAAGAGATTCAGATTTCATCTCCTTCCTGTTTCCTCTTCCCTTTACTGTGGTGACACTAATGACCAAAGACCCAAAGGAGAGAAACCAAAAGGAGATGAATCCCAGGTTAGAAATCCCAGGTTGGACTAATGTTGTGTAAAAATTCCAAGTTATAAAACACATCCATCAAATTTTATTTTTTTAAAAACTGTTTTTTTTTCTAACTAGAAAACAAACTTAAGCTCTGAATAATTAAAGTTATGAAACTTTGATGTATTCACAGCAATGAGAATAAACCAACTACCATTGCTCTCAGCAATGATGAACTTTACAACCATAACCTTGAGTAGAAGACAACGCAAGAGAACACAGTATATGTTTCAATTAATAGAAAGCTCAAAAAAAACCAGCAAAAGTCACTCCAAACCGGGAGAAGTCACTCCAAACCAATACCTTAAGATACATCACAGTCACTTTAACATCTTAGTGTGCTATCTGGTAAATATGTCATGATTTATTTAACCAGTCCCCAGTTCATGGATATTCAAGTTACTTCTAAAGATTTGCTCTTACATGGAACACTGCAGAACAGTCTTGCGCTGGTGCAAGTAGTTCTATGTAATAAATCCCTAGAAGTAGAACCAGTGGGTCAAAGAAATATCAATAGTATCCACATTTGAAAATTTAAACCAAGAAACTTTTTGGCATCAGGAGAATCTATCCAACTTCAAGGCTTAATTCAACCAAGAAACTTTTTGGCATCAATGGCTTTTTCTCCTTTCATCTACTAATGTAGCATATTAATACATTTCTTAATATGCTTTGGGTGAGGGATACAGCTAATCATGGAAAATAGCATTCAATTTGTTGGTATTTTATTTAGAAACTGCATGTCCAAGCTCTTACATTAGTAAGAGGTACATTTCTCACAATTAATGAACCCATACTGGTATATTATTAACTCCTGGTATCAAAAGTGCTCTGCAAAATTAATTGGGAAGCCTTCCATTTCTTTCTACACTCTGAAAAAGTTTACATCACACCAGAAAGGTGTGCCTTAAAGGCTTGAAAGAGTTTAAAGAAACTCTGTGCCAGACTTTATAACATTTTCTAAGTTCTTCCATGATTACTGATCCACTCAAATTATTCTACTTTTTCTTTGACAAATTGCTTTTATCCAGAGGATGATAATTTGATCATAATTTCAGAATTGTTAATAAAATCACAATTTAAAATCATTAATTATTTCTAACTTAATTTGGATTTTCTTTTTTTCTTGGTTAGGTAGTCTATCTTGTTAATCTACTGACAATTGTATGGGGTAGGTTTTATTGTGATCACCATTTTCCTTATGAGAAAACTGAGGGAAAGAACTGTAATTCACCTAAGTCTCACAGCTAGTAAGGGTTGCAGCCTGCCTCCTTTTCTTCTCTATTAGTAAAACCACCTGGAATCCCATCCATAACAATACACAATAAAATCCAAGCTCCTTTTCTTCTCTATTAGTAAAGCCACCTGGAATCCCATCCATAACAATATACAATAAAATCCAAGCTCCTCCAGTGCCTCCCTACAAGGTCCTTACATAATTTGGACCCTGACTACCTGTCAGGTCACCTCTTACCATTTGCCCCCTTGTTCTAAGCTTAAAATATTTAAAACCTGGCCTTCTGCAGCCAAAGCAGGCCTACTACTATTATAGGCTCTTACATTCAGACAATTCCCCACTTGCATTAATTACAATGCTGCCAAATATGGCCACAGATAGCACTGAGCCTGACCCAGCGCTCTTGACATTTTTACTTCTGTGGCACATTTACAAATCAACACTGACTTTGTATTATTTGAGCCTCTGGCTCCTATCATGCTCCCTGCCCACAATACCCTGCTGTCTCTCCACCTAGGAGAATCTATTCAACTTCAAGGCTTAATTCAAGTTCCACTTCCCAAAAGCAAAGATGCTATGTCAACAATGACTCCATCTGGAGGTGACACTGTTTTCCTGACCACAAGAATGCTTATACTTTAACCCATTTTGTCCCATTGTTTCAGATGTGGAACACCTATAAAATTTAAATACAGCATATAATATGCAATAAGAATATAATTGTAATAGTAATTAATGTAGTACTATGTACACCCTATGGTTCCCAATCTATTTTAATACACTTGTGTTAATTATATTGAAATATTCACAGAACTGAAAATTTGGGACTTAATGGGTTAAGGCAACTGTAGCTCCTGTCTAGTTACATGAGAGGAAGCATCAAATAGCATTAAGACTTTAGGCTTGTGGCCAGAATACCTGGGTATGGATCTCACCTCCTCCACTTACTAGCTGTATGACTTTAGAAAACTTAAATTCTGTTTCCATTTTTAAGTCTGTATAATGGATATAACAGTACAAACCTCATAATTATGAGGATGAAACAAATTAATACACAGCATATGCTTAGAACAATGCCTGTTGGCTTTTATTTGCTTATTTGAATATTTGCCACATCTACCCAACATAGCTATTAGTCATGAAGCACATAGATAATGAACCTTCAGGGTCATAACATGCAATTTACATTCACATTGTACCTGTACACTGTAGACATAACAACTCTTTTTTGAAAAAGAAATGTTACATCTTTTAAGCGCCAGGCATGATGCAAAGAACTGGGGTTTGTCAGAAACATTTAAATTCAAATTCAAATTGCTCTTTCTTGCAAAAGAACTGTTACATTTTTATTTACAGTGCCCAGGGCATGATGCAAAGAACTGGGCTTTAGACAGCAACACTTGAATCCAAATTCAAACTGCAAAATTTGCAATTTCTCTTTAAACAGATATATAACTTTTCTCAGTGCCCCAATTTTCTAACCGGTAAAATTGGAATAATATGTCCTTCACTGGGCTGTGTAACACTCAGCATCATGCCCGTTTCATCACGGGTACACCATAAATTTTAATTCCCTTTGACGTGTTCCCGAAAGGTACACGAGCACAGCTTCTACAACATTTTCTTAGAGATCCACCACTACTACATCAAGCACAATTTATTTCATTCTTTAAATTCAAAATCCTGCAAAAAATGGGTTCACCTAAAATGAAACCCATTTATATTTCATGTTAAAAACCTAAAATCCCAACAACATAAGAACAAGAAGACATCTGTTTTTTTAAGACACTAAAAAACTTTTTGTAGACATTAAATACACGTTAAAAACTATTTTTAAAGTTATGTAAAGGTTCACTCCGCCGCGCAAGGCATTTACTTGCCATCAATTTATCCCATGCAAGCATAGTTCACAATGATGAGGCTGAAACGACATTTCACCCCAGGAACTCTTCAACAAATACAGGGCAGACCGCTCCAATATACATATATATTTAATTACAACAAAACCTTATGTAAACACACCAACCGATCGCTTGCTAAAATTTCCGGTAACACTCTGAAAAAGTAGCCCTTCCATTGTCCATATCCAACTTTAGAAGCTACAAAATCCGCCAAATGGGGATAAGGCAGCCAAAATATACCGCGTCGCCCAGCACTTGCTGCGAGCCAGACAAATGCTTGAAACTGCACCTAGCCCAGGTCTTGCT